GGAGGTTGAGGCTGCAGTGAGCCATGATCACACCACTGCACTCCAGCCTGGGCAACAGAGACCCAGTCTCAAAAAAAAAAAAAAAAAAAGATTCCCCCTTTCCTCAAGCCCCATACCGCCCCCCCAACCATATGCCTGTGGCCCACTGAGGCTTGCGTACTCTGAATTGCAATTATGTGTTATTCTTGATTAAATTCATTTATCCTGGAGAGCCTGAGTTTCTCTTTAGGTTGACACCACTCACTCTTGTCAGTCCCTGCAGTGCCCCAAGCATCCCTGTCGTGTGGTGAGCAGGGAAACCTTGGCATCTCAAGGATGCAGGTGCAGGAGAGTGAGTCTCCAGGCTGTCAGAGCTGAGCACGTAGAATCCAACCATGGAGAGCACCCTGAGGTTCCTGACCCCAGGTTGTCTTGGTCCTTCCTGAGACCCTGGTGAAGAGTGAGATGGAAGTGTGGGGATTCCTGGGCTCCCCAGGTAGTCTTGGCCTTCATGTGTGAAGTCCTCTCTCCAAGGGGGCCTCCAGTGAGCTCCACCCCTGGGACACAGCTGTGAATACCTGATTCTTGTTCCCAACACCCATGCACTGGCCAAAAACTGCACTTGCCAAGGTAGCAGTCAATCACAGCACCTTGTGTTTATTGGAAATGTCCCACCTACAGAACATTAAGATGCCAGCAACCAGCCCAGCACGGTGGCTCACACCTATAATCCCAGCAGTTTGGGAGGTCGAAGTGGGTGGATCACGAGGTCAGGAGATGGAGACCATCCTGGCTAACACAGTCAAACCCCGTCTCTACTAAAAATACAAAGAATTAGCCAGGCGTGGTGGTGGGTGCCTGTAGTCCCAGCTACTCGGGAGGCTGAGGCAGGAGGCAGAGGTTGCAGTGAGCCAAGGTCACCCCACTTCACTCCAGCCCGGGCAACAAGAGTGAAACTCCATCTCAAAAAAAAAAAAAGACTTCACCCAACTAACTATGCTTATGTAGAAAGAGGTTGCATCCCTGTTCCAGTCATGGCCATGAGGAGTAGCTATGAGAAGGGCCCTAAGGCACAGCATGGTTTGCAATAAGAAGGGCGGAGCCAGGGAGAGGGAAAGCTTTGGTTTCAAATATCACAAGGTGTGGGCCTGAGCCTGCTGCCTGCCCAGGTCTGGGCGCCTCCACTCAGCCACTGTCCTCCCCCTGCCTCTAAATCTGGAAGGCTGCATCTGAACCTGCCCTTCCAGACAACACCCCTCCCCTGGGAAACCAATGGGGATGAGTAGCGTCCCTCCACTAGGGGCCGTGGGTTTCGAGGTGGGGGCGGAGGATGAGTTAGCAGCGCTTGCATATCATAGCTCTCTTCATGTCAGCAGGGAGAGGGAGGTGCCACTGCCTCCCCCGAGATGAGAAAGCAGGTGAGAGTCACCAGGGGAAGAACCCTGGGGCAGCTGGCTTGTCCCAGCCACTCCTGAGTGCAGGGAGGGGCCAAGGCACCAAATATGGAGGCTGAGTCCTCACTTGGGGAGCTGGGCAGCCTGAGCACGAAGATCCATCAGAAGCAGCAGGCAGCTGGGGCGAGGGGTAGTGCCTCTGACTCATGAAATCCCGGATTAGTCAGCAACCATCACAGAGGCCACCAGCATTGATCCCACTGGTTGTTGGGGAAGCACAGAAAATTCAGCAGCCTAAACGGACCATGGAAGAGGCTGAGAGGCAGAGGCCTTGGGGATAGATGGGGAGAAGGCAGGAGTACCGGCCCCAGCCTCAGGTGTCCAGGCCAAGCTTCTCAGAGCCACCTGGATCACGGACATCAGACCCTTTCTGTGGCCTTGCTGGGCATCCAGGGTATGTGGGCTGGGATGCCCCAGCCTTGCCCCCATTACTGGTTCGGCTGCTGAGGAGGAGGGGGCAGCCCTCAACTGGGTGGAATTGTTCCCCTCATTCTGGTTCTGCATTGGTAGGCTGCAGAAGCACGTCCTGCATAGCTTATGCAGCTTCCAGGGCTCGACTGGCTGAGGTGGATCCCAGGGCGGGCTCCCAAAGGGACGTGCCCTCCTGTTCTCCCCAGATGACACCACACCTCCCTTGGGCCCCAACCTGAAGCCTCCTCTCAACCCCATTCTCCCAGGTCCCAAGTCCCTCTGCCTCTCGACTAGACCCCACATCCGGGAATGGAGCCACAGAGCCCCCAGCAGGCTGTAGCCACTTGTGTCCAGAGGCGACAGGAGAGGCCCTGCCCTCATGGAGTCCACCAGCATGCTTCATTCTGCGTTCTGCAGGCTGGAAGCACGTGGCAGGCTGCTTTCCCATCCAGAGCTCAGGCTGGGGCCATAGCCCCCAGCTCCAGGACGCCAGGGCTGGCAGGTCTGGGGGGAGTCTGGGGGCAGTCTGGGGGTGTCAGGACTCCTGTGGCTGTAGTAGCTCCCTGGCCTGGTCCTCATCCAAGATGAACGGGGACTGGAACTCCCGGCCTTGCAGGTACACTTCTAAACCCTGGAGACGAGCAGGCAACAATGGCCAAGTACCCACCTTTTGGCTGGCCACAGCCCCCTCTGGCCACACCAAGGAGCCACAGTCCCCAGGCACGATCCCGGGTCTGCCTGGAGTCAGGGAGGGGTAGGGACATAAAGGCTTCCAGGGCCAGGAGCAGACACACACTGCAAGGCCACCCAAGACCACACTCAAGACCCTAGGCCAGCAGGAGACCCTCCTGTCACGCTCAGGTCTGACCTGACCAGAGAAAGGGGCAAGGGTAGCCAAGGTCAGGGAGGTGGGAGAGGCCAGTGTCGTACCTCCACGAGGCCCCCACAAAATCCTGTCTGGCCCCACACTGGGCTCAGACCTGGGCTGTCTCATACCCATGCCCTCCCAGGTCCTGCAAAGGCCTCTGGACGCCTCACCCCACCCCATCCCATATCTTGGAAAGTCTTCTGCAACTTTAAACCACCGATCCCATTCGTTAACCGAGGTAGAGCTGTGCCGTCTCCACCCCAGCAGCCACCTCTCCCCAGGTGGTATTAAAAACCTGACTCCAGAAAAGCCCCAGATAGGGACGGGCAGCTCTCACCTCTCCAGAGTAAGACACCAAGGGCGATATCTCACAGACGGCCGGAGGGTCTCCATTTGGGGGTAAGCTAGGGAAAGTCCGCTTGTCAATATCTCCTTGCAAAGCCTGGCCAGAGCCCTCCCACAGCACCCCCACCCCCCATAGGAGACTGAGCTCTACACATCTGGCTCCCCAGAGCCCATCTCAGCAAACTTGTCTTCCTCTGGACACCCCAAACCCTGAGCACACATCCCACTGCCAAGTGACAGGACCTGATTTGGGGTAGAAAGCACCCCCACAGGCCTCCCACGCAGAGCCTAGGCAGCTAGATTTAGCAAATCAGGGAGGCAAAAGCCAAACGTCTTTTTCTTTCCCAGCCCTGAAATCAAACTGTCCTGCTACTTTCTGAATTCATGCCAGGGGCTCAGTTTCAAAGCCTGTGAATAAATGGGAACAAGGTTGGTTGGGTGATGGATCCCGTAAAAGCCCTGACCTGACCACTGTGCAATCTACACATGTAACAAAGCTGCACACGCACCCCACAAGTTTATACAAATAAGAAAAATAAAAATAAAAAAATAGGCGGGTGCGGTGGCTTACGCCTGTAATCCCAGCACTTTGGGAGGCTGAGGTGGGCGGATCACAAGATCAGGAGACTGAGACCATCCTGGCTAACACGGTGAAACCCCGTCTCTACTAAAAAAAAATACAAAACATTAGCCGGGCGTGGCGGTGGGTGCCTGTAGTCCCAGGTACTCCGGAGGCTGAGGCAGGAGAATGGCGTGAACCCAGGAGGTGGAGCTTGCAGTGAGCCGAGATGGCGCCACTGCACTCCAGCCTGGGCAACGGAGCGAGACTCCATCTCAAAAAATAAATAAATAAAAATAAATAAATAAATAAATAAAATAAAAGGCAAATCTAAGTATGCTTTTGTAAACAAACCAAAAGCTTGTGGACAAGTTGGGGAGGGAGTTGGGGAGCCCCCTGCCTCCCTCAGTGCACTGAGCACAACTTGAAGGGTCAGGCCAGGAGGCTGCGCCAATGGTCACCGTGTGACCTGGAGCTGGCCGGACACAAGGCCACCTGCATCTGTGGTGGTGCTGGGGAGGAAGACCCCTCCCCAGCATGGCTGTCGCAGAGCCAACAGGGCTCTGGAGCTGAAGACTGGGTTCTGACAGCCCTCCCCATCTGGCCGTAGCTACCCCAGGGCCACACTCACCCGGGCAGCTCTGGGAGCCAGGCCCCATGGGCATCCAGGAAGCGGGCCCCTGCCTGCAGAGCCCACCGGTAGTGCTGGGCGAGCAGGGCCTGGCGGGAGGTACGGGGACTATCCCTGTCGGCCGGCTCTGCATTCTTCAGTGGGGAAAATTCCTCCTCCCGTAGTACTTCAAAGGCAACAAAGTTCCTGGTGGGGAAAGGGCTGGTCACCCACGTCCCGGCACAGAGGCCCTGATCCGGGTGGGTGAGGGCTGGGCCAGGTTTCCAGTGGCAGAGTGAAGGTCTGGTCCCATGGACAGCAAGTCTAGGGAGGAGCCCTCACAGGTACTGAGTGTCTTTGCTCCTGAGACGCTGGGGATGGCCCAATTCCAGCAGCCATTTCCGGGAGCCAAAAACCCAGACCCTGGGACCCCTGCAGTGAGGGCCAAAGGCCCTGTGAGCCGCCCTGGCAACCTGGCCAGGAGACCTCTCCTAACCGTGGGTGGGGGAGTGGAAGGTCCAGGAGGTGGCACTACTGTCCTCCCAAGACCACAGCCCCCAAGGACTCCCTATGCCCCCACCTCAGGTGCTGCTTACCCTCAGGGCCAAAAGCACCTTCTGGCCTTCTCCCTGAGACCTGCCCGCAGGCCCCTTAGCCCCCCCAAGTCTCCACTTCCCTGTCAGCTGGGCCTCAGTTCCCACCACCAAAACTGAGGGAAGGAAGAAGGGAAAAATGAATAAGTCCCACTACTAACTTAGCAAACCGGAACACATCAAACACAAACTTCTCCATCTTTATCCCGTTGGGTTTTAGCGGCTTTACCAGGTTCCCCTCCTCATCCACATACGGGACTTTCTTCACAGCCACGTGTGGCTTCAGCAAAGGCTCAAACTCCCTGGGGTACGCGAGAGCAGAGAGGAGGAAAGACACAGATCAGATATGGCACCGCTGGGGCTCTGTCCCCACTTCTGAGCACACCCAGCTGGGTGGGACAGGATGGCAGAGGGACACTACAGGGGACAGAAGCAGCAGAGTAGGGCCAGATCTCCAGGGAGGAGCAGGCACAGGCCTCCTCCCTGCATCCCCGTGCCAAGTGTCAGGTACCATCAGCCACATCCCTGCCCAGGCAAACAGAAACTGGCAAGCCCCAGGGCAGAGGTAGTACCATGGGCACCAGGGCAGGTCCCCAGAAGGCGGAGATAGCAGACTTGATCACAGAGCCTTACAGCAGCTGCCTGCTGAGCACGGCTTGTGCCTGATCTCCAGCACCTCTCCCTCTGCAAACACAGGATCCATTTTCCACCCCAACCCATCAGCCGCCCCTGACCACAGCCACTCCTGACCACAGCAGCTGTGGCCCAGGGCACTCAGCTCACTGGGACCCCATGGGTCCCTGGTCAGCGCAGGCGGCACTGGCCGGCACTCCGCAGCCACCTGCTGCCGCACACCTGGTGACCGCCTTAAGGAAGCCTCGGGTGAAGAAGTGGTTGCAGATGTTGCCTGCATTGTACAGCAGGCCCCCGTCGGAGGCACGCAGCTGTGCGGTGTCAGGACTGATCTCGCTGTACTCCACCACCTGGGGGACGCCGTCCACCTGGCACACCACGCCCACGGGCTCCTCGGGGTATGCCTTTTCCACCACCTGCAGCCAAGACCAGGGATGGTCTCGGAGGGCTGGGGAGAGGGGCGGGGCTCCACGAGGGGCAGGGCCAGGCTGCGCGGAGGGGAGGTAATCCAGGAGGGGCGGGGCTCCGCGCAGGTGGGCGCTAACCTTGGCGCCACAGTCTGCGCCCTGCAACACACAGAAGCCGATGAAGACAGGGTCTGCCAGTCGCACCAGAATGTTGTCCACACAGTACACGTGCACAAACTCCACTCCTCGGCGCTCCATGTCCTCCAGGATCTTGTGGTCCTCCAGTGCGCAGTAGAGGCCCCCGTTTCCGTCTGCAGGCGGAGAAGGGAATAGATGTTGCGAGGGCTCCAGCCGCAGCTCGCTCTGCGGGTCTAGGACGTACTGGAGGCGGGGTAAGCCCCGGCCTTGTGCCTAAGGCAGCCCCGATCACTAACCAGACTGCCCAGCGGTTGTACCACGTGACAAATGAGGCTCAAGGCCCAGGGAAAGAGGCGCCTAACCTGGGACCACACAGTCTCGGGGCAGCCGCGAAACCGGGCGCGTGGACCCCCAGCTACGCTCCTAGTTCTGGTCTGGGAGGTCCCTCCCCGTCTCAGGAACGGGCCACACCTGGGGCCATGGCAACTTTGTCTTTCCGCTCCAGGATCACCTTGCCATCAAAGGTCACAGCAGGCAGCAGGCGCTGCTCAAACATGACCACGTTGGCGGGGTCCAGGTGGAAGAAGTTGTGCTCCCTGAAGAACTCGGCCGTGGGCCCCAGAGTGAACTCGCTGGTCATGACGTACCTGCAAGGGAGGCGCGGTGAGCCGGCCGCGAGTGCGCTTGACCCTGCAGGCAGACTGCGCTCGGACCAGAGCCGGCATTGGGGTTCGGGGTCCAGTGTCTAGTTGGGGCTGGGGCCAGGCCCCATTTTGGGCCAGTGCTGGGCTATGTCCCGGGCTGTGCCGGGGTTGGGGCTCGCGTGTGCACCGGGGTTGCGGGGAAGGGTCCCTCCGGGCCGAGGTAGGGCAGGGAGGACACACCAGGGGACGGTGCAGCGGGTCCCGTGGCGCTCACCGGCCAGCTGCTCCACCCGCCGAATCCGCTCCGCCTGCAGCTGGTACAGGGTCTTCCGGCTGGGCAGCCCCACACGATACATACCCTTGGGGTAGGTCACGCCCAGGCGAGTGCCCTGCCCCCCCGCCAGCAGCAGGACGGCCACCTTGTTCAGGGCAATCTGGCGGAAACCTGGGGGTACAGGCGCTGTGAAGGGACGCCCGGGACCCGCCCACCCTTCCGCTTTAGGGAAAACCAGCCCTGGGGCTGGGGCTCCGGGACTCGGGGGCCAGAACGCGTGAGGCGAGACACGTCTCAAAGTAGCGAAGGAGAATTACAGTTCCCCGAGCGCGGCCTCGGTTCCCTCCCGCTCCGTGGGCACGAGCCCCTGCCGGCCCCCAGGGCCTCCC